CTGCATCTTCTGCAGGAGAGGATTATAAAAACAGCTACTTTTCTTACAGTGTATATTTTTTCCATGGACTGAAAAATCTTAAATATTAATTCTCTTTCTGAAGTTATCCATAAATGGTTTTGGAACAAAGGGTGGTCCTGTTCATTACTGTCCTTATTTCTGAGGCTCCCCTCTCTATTGCATAATAGGGCTCGGGTCTTAGCCTTGAGCATACGGTATAAGCACACAGAGATTTCCTGTTTGTTTTTGCAGTGTTGTGTTTAGAGAGGGAAAACTTGGAGACATCCTTCTTGATTGACAGACGTTGGGCATGATACAGTAAATCACGGCAGGCAGTGTTTCCTTACCCTCTCCTGTTTTTATTTTTATAGTTGGCTCTCAGCTCTTGAAAGTACAAAATGGCTCCATCACCTGTCTGTGCTTCTGAAATCGGCACTTCTGGTGGTGCACGCTGTGGACCGTGATCAGCGACCGGTGCTAGCACACTGTTCAGATGGCTGGGATCGTACCCCCCAGATTGTGGCACTGGCTAAGCTCTTGCTAGACCCTTATTATCGAACCATAGAGGTGGGTGCATTTGCTCCTTCAAGGTGTGTGGGAAAATAAGCTAGGGCCACACAGCCAGTCCCTTGGTTAGGACTTCTCTAAGGGTTTTATTCTCAATTTTGAGGTGGCGATTAGGTCTATAGAAAGTGAGATGACTTTGCCTCTCTGCAGATGAGGCAGATTGTGGGTAACGAGGTATGGAGAGTATTGCGGCCTATTATTGTACTTGAAAAAGTCTTGTCAGCCCCAGGAAAACAGTGCTTTTGTAACTGGATCTCGGCACACCTGTGGTAACGGGTCTTGATATCACCACAGAGTGTTCTGTGGTAAAAGAGCCCTACTCTGAAATAACTACCTACTGCCTGAAAAATGTGAGAAGAACCATGAGGTGCCCTGAAATCTAAAGTGGGGAAGGAGCTCTGGTAGCATAGTGCCTAAGGCACTTGACTGCTAACCAGAAGGCTGGCAGTTCAAACCCACCAGCCACTCCTCGGAAGGAAGGTTGGGCAATCTACTTCTGTAGTGATACCGCCTCAGAAATCCAAGGAGAGGTCACTGTGAGTTGGGTCTGACTCGTCAGCATACAACAACAACAACAGCGTGGGAAAAGATTTTACAAACATGACTTGTAAACATAATACTAAGGGCAGACATTAAAAAATGAAAAAGAAATTTTAGGGAAAAAATGGAGTGGTTTTTATGAAGTGAGTGAAAGAATCTAAAAATATCAGTAGGCTCAAGAAAGGGTTACATAAATGCAGAGTTAGTATCCCTTTAGTGATTATGGGATGGAGTTCAGGGAATACGGAATGTGGAATTTTTCTTAAGCATGCACTTGGTGTCCCAGTAAGAATAGAACCATTGGCTGTGAGCCCAGACAAGGCTCTAGTGATGGGCTTGCTGACAGGCTGTTACAGGGATCATTGCCAGTCACACCAGGCTCAGGACGGTCGTAATCTGGCTAGATGAGCATAAACGGTCTCTCCTGGGTGCTTCCCCGCAGGGTTTCCAGGTTCTCGTGGAGATGGAATGGCTGGATTTTGGCCACAAGTTTGCCGACCGATGTGGTCATGGGGAGAACTCGGATGATCTGAACGAGCGTTGCCCAGTGTTTCTGCAGTGGCTTGACTGCGTTCATCAGCTTCAGAGGCAGTTTCCTTGCTCTTTTGAGTTCAATGAAGCATTCCTTGTGAGTTGGAGTTTATGCTTCTGTTTTGGGGACTTCCTGAATTTGTGGGGCTATAACCCAGATGTTAGTGGGCTGATGTTCACATGGAGCTGTGCAGGCTTTTTAGAATTTAATAGAGGGGAGATTCTTCTCCATTTTTTAAAATTAAAAAATAGCAGCAGCAACAACAAAAACCAGGTGTTTGTTTCCTCAGTGACTCCAGTGTACTCGGCCCTTGAGTTCTTCAAACCTAGGGTTTGGAAAGGAATGCTGCTGTTGTGGTGGTGGTGCTGTTGGTTCCAGCTCATAGGGACCCAACTATGACAGAGTAGAACTGCCTCCAAGAGTTTCCTAGGCTGTAATCTTTATAAGAACAAATTGTCAGATCTTTTTTCCCATGGAGCTGGTGGTGAGTTTGTACTGCCAGCCTTTTGGTTAGTAGCTGAATGCTTAATCATTACACCACCAGGCCTCCTTAAAAAGGATGCTAAAAACCTTAAACAGCAGTTAGAAAGTAGAAACAGTCAGAATTTCCCATGCTTCCTCCAGTCCATCCACCAAACCTCCCAATCTGTCTCACATCCTCTGCTTCCTCTGCCTTGGGAGGTACTGTCCTCTTCACCTCTCCCTTTCCTTGTGCAGCAGCTACCATCCCTCTCATCTGGTTGAGAGTCTAGCATTCTCATCTCCCCTTCATCAGCAGTGTTTCCCACCATCCCAGATCATTGTCATCAGTATGCTCCCACTTCTCTGTTCCTCTTTACAGCAGGGCTCCTCAAGACTTTTACTGTTGCTGCTTCAAATTCTTCTCTTAAACCCACTTCAATCAGACTTCCACCTACCACTTCACCAGTGACCAGTGTTAAGGTGACCAGTAACTTTCATGTTGCTAATGTAGTTAGTGATCAGTTCTCATGCTTTATCTTTGATCCATCAGTAGTAGCACTTGGCACAGTTTAATCAACCCTCTTTTTTTAAAAAATAATTTATTTGCTGTTGTTGAGAATATACACAGCAGAACATATACCAGTTCAACAGTTTCTGCATGTATAATTGAGTGACACTGATTATGTTCTTCAAGTTTTGCAACCATCATCACCCACCTTTTCCGAATTGTTCCTCCTCCATTAACATAAGCTCACTTTCCCCAAGGTTCCTTTCTGATCTCCTGAGCTGCTGTCAGTTTGATCTCTGTAGACAGTTCTTAGAAGAGCATGATCTCAACTAGTGAAGCTGAACTATTTAATCCCTTCTTTCTGAAAACAAGCAAACAACTTTTTTCAGTTGACTTAAAACCTGTTCTCTTAGTTCTCCTCTTACCTCATTGGCTGGTCCTTTCCATCTTTTAGGCTGGCTCCTCCTCAGCTCCACTGCTCTGAATGATGGAATGGCCTGGGGCTCAGTCTTCAGGCTTCTTCTCTTCTTCTCCATCTGCACTCCCTCTCAGGCGATCTCATCCAGTCATGGCTTTGATAATTGTCTGTGTGTAGATGATGCCCACATTTCTGTATCTTTAGCCTGGACCTCTCCGTGTAACTCCAGACTCCTGTCTCTAACTGTGACTACTTAGCATGTTACTTAACACGGTATTTCAAACTTAACGTGTTTAAAATGTAATTCTTTATTCCCACCTCTCCCTTCCCCAAAACCTAATCTTCCAGAAGTCTTCCACCTCACCAAGCACAACACCATCCTTCCATCAAAAACCTTGATGTCACCCTTTACTCTCCTCTACTTTCAAAATAGATCTAAAGCTTGATTACTTCCTGCCACCTCTTCTGTTACTGCACTTGTCCAAGCCATCATCTGCTGCCCCTCCTCCCAGTGGGGCCAATCTAGCAGCCGGATGGATCCTTCTAAAACATAAGACAGAACATGCCATTTCTCTTCTCAAAACCCTCCAGTGACTTTCCAGTACATAGAGTAAAAGCCAGAGTCCTTAAAATTGCCCTCAAGGGCCCTCCTTGAGGTGCCCGCTCTAGCTTCATTTCCTGTCATGTTCCCCCTTGTGTAATCGTCAGTCACACTGGCCTCCTTGCTGTCCCTCAGCAGTCACGGTCCATGCCTACCTGAAGATTGTTCGTTGTGTTTGCTATTGTCTCTGTTGGAGCAATTCCCTGCAGATAGCCCCATGACCTGCTGTCTCTACCTTCCATCAGTTCTTGGCCAGAGAGGCCTTCCTGCACTCTCCAGCACTTGTCTGTCACTCTTAGCTGCCTCACTGTTCTCCACAGTGCAGATTACCCTCCCCCAACGGCTGGGATAAAGCTCCATAGGAGCTGGAGGGTTGTCTGATTATTGATACATTTCCAGCTCCCATGGTAACGTCTGGGGCATACAGGATACTCAGAATGATGTTTGGGTGAATGAGCAGTTTTAGAAATGTGCTCTTAGTTCGGAATTCGGTGGCACACTGACTTGCTCTTGTACCCAGTGTAATGTTCTGTTGTTCATGAGGGTGGTGGTTAACTCGGATATCTTTTGAGTCAGGAGTGTTGTTGATTGGGGTTGTTTCCTGGAATTGGTGCTGTGAGGAGGAGGCTATTTTGTGGCTTAATTGGCTCCCCCGTCCTTACAGTGTGTGAGCTCTCCAGGGTGTCGGGGAGGGTGGCTGGGTTGGGCTGATCTTCCTGCAGAGAGTGTGGCCGTTGCTTAATTGTGCCTCATTGGACTCCCACACAGGTGAAACTGGTGCAGCATACCTACTCCTGCCTGTTTGGAACATTCCTGTGCAACAACGCCAAGGAGCGAGGAGAAAAGCATACTCAGGAACGGACCTGTTCTGTGTGGTCGCTTCTTCGGGCAGGCAACAAGGCTTTCAAAAACCTGCTGTATTCCTCTCAATCAGAAGCTGTATGTATCGTTCAGCCTTCCTCTGTGATCCTCAGAAGGACTCGGGGTTGGAGGGAAGGGGGAGCTGTGGTTGCCTTTGTGAGTAGTGACTGTCTTCTAAAAGGCATCTCCGTTGTCTCTGGATGGGCTCCCATCTGTCCCAAGAACAGCTGCTTTCCTGGTGATCTCTGACCTGCTTCTGACCAGGCTTTGCTTAGGGTGATTTGACCAATACACATCTCTGCCTTACCACTCTAGACATGACTCTTTTCTGGTACCTCCTCAAGAGCTTAGCTTATTTCTGGCATGTTCTGCCAATGGATGGAAGCAACACTTAAGTTATTCCCCAGATGCCCTGATAGCTCAGACAGAAGAAGCTGCCACCAGGCCCCAGTGCCCTTCTGTTGGCAAGAGGTGATGCTTTCCATTGCAGGTTCTTGTCTCAGAGAGCAAAAAACCATGTCTGTATGGTTCCGTTATCACATGGGGAGCTGGCAAGTGCTCTGTTCCCCAAGGGAACAGCTCCTACTCCTGTTAAGCAGTGAAAAGGAGCCACATCCTTCTGCGTGTCAGTACGCGGTAATGCTCCCTTTGTCAAAATGCGTCTGTCTTCAACTCTGAGAAGTCAAAAGGAGGCTCATCAGAGGTCAGATTGCTTTGCTGGATTATTAATACTCTTCTCGCTTGATTCAAGGAGTCAAAGGAAAGATTTAAGCTAACTGCTTCTCTCTCTTCCACTGTGCCTGCTGGGGAAGTAATTCCCTGCTTTTCACATGATTAAATGATCCTGTAAAACAGGCTTGGTGTAGTGTCTTTTGGAGCCAAGTTTTTGTACCAGGGGAACAGATGATCACCATCTAACAGAATGACTCACTTTCTTATGCAGTAAAAGCAACAAATCAAGCTGATGAAAGTCAGTCATTCAATAAAGGTGACCTTAGGAATAATTAAAAATGAGAAGTGGGTTTCTAAAAATCCTTCAGATTTCCATGCTTACAGGAGGCTCTCTGGTGAAAAACGTTGCCAGGCAAAAATCTGTCTGGTATTGACCCTCTCGGGAGATAGACCTGTATCTCCTCTTGTTACCTCTCTTTGAAGATCGTGCTGGGCCTGTTGGGTGTTCCAGCTAGGTCCCTGTTCTTGATCCTTGTTTCCAGACATTTCTAAAAGACTTGATAATGTATGAGACCTGTTTAAACCTGCGTCCTCCCTCTCCTCAGGTGCTGTACCCAGTGTGCCACGTGCGCAATCTGATGCTGTGGAGTGCAGTGTACCTGCCCTGCCCGTCCCCATCCACCCCTGTGGACGACAGCTGCGCGCCATACCCAGCCCCAGGCACCAGCCCTGATGACTCACCCCTGAGTCGGTGAGCCCAGGGTGGATGTCATGGGCTTCAAGTCCTGTGTGGGTGTATTCTGGCCTTGGGATATGCCCAGGGGTGGTCAAGATCATGACATCAGCTGGCTTTAAACATCTTGCTTAGATCTCTGAAGTTTCCTCAGGGAAGGCATAACAATTTCTAGACTCCAGGACTGTGAGAGCCTCATTTCCTGAAAGGCCCACATCACTCTGCTGCATGTGTTGGGCAGTTTCTGAGTGAGAGAGCAACTTCGCTGGATTCATTTATGACCACCTGACTTAGTTTTACCCACTGCTCTGCATTCCTGCCTCTCTGCCATGATTTGTTCTTTCGGGTTTAAAAGGCAGATGCTGTCAGATAGAAAGTTGGGCATTGCCAGTTGTGAATTAACTTTATTGAATTCAGACCGAAAGATAGTATGTTAAAATACCATAATACCAAAAAAAAAAAAAAGGTTGGCAGTGCTGCTTTCCTTTGCTACTAATTATGAAACACACAGTATCAAGAAGAATGTCTTTTAAAGGTACTATTTGATGTGAGCTTATTTGTGTGTATTGGGCATGGGGTGGGAGGAGTATGAGAGAAACTCTGCAGACTGGAAGAAGGACCTTTAAGGGACCTCTACCTCTCCAGCAATCTAACTCTTATTTCAGAGATGCCATGGCTCCTTGAGTAGCCATAAAGGACCCAGTTATGAAATAATTGCCTCTTAAGATCTAGTCTCCTTGCTTCCTATAAATAGCTTCATAGATTCTCATTTCCCCAAACCTCTTTTCTTTTAGGCTACCAAAGACTAGATCGTTTGACAATCTGACCACAGCCTGCGACAACACAGTGCCTCTGGCCAGCCGGCGCAGTAGCGACCCGAGCCTGAATGAGAAATGGCAGGAGCACCGGCGCTCGCTAGAACTGAGCAGCCTAGCTGGTCCTGGGGAAGAGCCTCTGGGTGCCGAAGGCCTGGGGAAGCCAGCCAGAGTGCTGGGGGGTGCCGAGCTGTCTGTTGCAGATGGAGTGGCTGAGGGGCAGATGGAGAACATTTTGCAAGAGGCCTCCGAAGAGGAGAGTGGGCTAGAGGAGCCTGCCCATAAGGGGGACACTGAGATGCAAGAGAGCAAAGAGGAGGCTCTCTTAGAGAAGGAGAGCAGGAGGAAGATGCCTGAAGGCTCAGCCTTTGCGGTTGATAAAGAACCAGAGCTGGACGCTGCTGCTCTGAGGGGCTATCCAGGCACGAACCTGTCTGTGTTCTCACAGGGTCTTCCTAAACAGCGAGGTGGGCACAGTGTTCTCCCTAGTCTAGTCCAGGAGCCCCTCAGGGGAGAGAACTCCCAGGAGATTCCTGGAGAGCAGCCTCAAATGGGAGATATCGCAGAGGATAGGGAGGAGGCAGTTCTTCCAGGCCTGGCAGATGGAAAAGTTGGCTACGGTACCTCACAGTCTAGTTCTCTGCTGCCGCCCCAAGTCCCATTTGAGGCCAGAGGACCAAATGTGGACAGTTCCATGGACATGTTAATGGAAGATAAGGTAAAGCCAGAAAATGGGCCCCAGGGTCATCATAGATCTTGCCTGGTAAACAGTAGCACATTCAGTGGCAAGGAGATGCTTGCCCAAGCCATGGAGCCCAGGCCTTTGGAGACGAGCCTAGCTGAGAGGTCCCAAGTGGATTCTGAGGTGCACAGGACTTCCCCTGGCCGCACTGGCAGCCCAACACGTTCCCCTTGTGCCTTGCCTTTAGCTGAATGTAAAGAGGGGCTTGTATGCAATGGTGCCCTAGAGACTGAAAACAAGGCCTCACAGCAGCCCACAGTGCTTAGCACTCTCCAGAAGTACCCCACACCCAATGGGCACTGCGCCAATGGTGAGGCTGGTAGGAGTAAGGACTCCCTGAGTCGCCAGCTGTCTACTGTGAGCTGCAACTCCACCCACTTACACTCAAGGAACTTGCACCACAAGTGGCTACACAGCCACTCGGGAAGGCCATCTGTGACCAGCAGCCCTGACCAGCCTTCTCGCAGCCACCTGGATGATGATGGCATGCCTGTCTACACAGACACTATCCAACAGCGCCTGCGTCAGATTGAGTCAGGCCATCAGCAGGAAGTGGAGACCTTGAAGAAGCAAGTACAAGAGCTGAGGAATCGCCTGGAGAGCCAGTACCTGACCAGCTCCCTACGTTTCAATGGGGACTTTGGGGATGAAGTGGTGAGTACACCAAGGTATCTTCACGGCTGATCAAAGAGATACGGCATCCTTAGTGCCCTTTGTGCCAGTGCATGGTGCTAGGTAAAGAATTGCAAAGGCTCAGAATAGCCCTGTTGAGAGAGGCTGGAGCTCAGCCTTGGCTATGTAAATGGCAGGTATTTGCCTCTTTTCTGCATGGTCTACTTTCCATGGATGTCCTGGTTTAGGCAGTATGGTAAGGAAAGGGCACTCATATGTGATTGATCAGATATCTTTGAAGAGAAGATCATGTGTCTTAAGGAGAGCTTGAACTCTTGGACAGAATGACATTGTAGAGCGATGTCAGATATTTCTGCCACATTATACTGCCCACCTTAACCATAGTTGCCCCAAACACAGGCTGAAGGAAGCTGTGATGGTTTTGTTCTTTTTTTAAAAAACAAAACAAAACAAATGTTTAACCTCTCATGATGGATTTAGAAATGGAGAGAAGTGACTGATTTCAAGCACTGTTGTTGAGAAGTTAGCATTGATGGAGCTCAGGGAATGGAAGTGGGGGTGCCAGCGAGGAGGTCCTCAGGGGCATGATCTCCTCACTGGAAGATCTGACTCAGCATGCTCGACTATAAGCGGGAACCTGGCTCTGCAGTGATCAGCATACATGAAAGGCAGGCACATCCAATTGACTGTCCATTCAAAGTGACTTCTTGGCTTTCCTTCATATTAATGATAGTTTCTTGTTTTTCTAAAGAATCCTTCAGAGAAAGGAAAGCATGCCCAAAGCACTCAGTTCTAAGTGGCAGGGCAGGATCGACAGGCCAGTGGAACAGAGCTTCAGCTGACACTCAGAACTCACACTCCCTTCTGGTCACTTTTTCCCCACCTGGAATGCTAAGGCTCATCTTTCTACTCCAAAGACCACACACAGTCTGCAACATGTGTATCTGTTCCAGCTGAGCTCAACCTCGTCTCTGCACCTGCATATCCTGCTTCTCGATGGTTATGCATCTAAAGCGTTGGCAACCCTAACACCCAGGCAGTGCACTAGCGCCCAGTGCTTCCTTCTGTCCCAAATCCTTTCTTCTTCTTTTGTGAGGAGACAAGGTTCATTCTGTTCAGCTGTGTTTGTTTGCCAACAGACTTCAGTCCCCGACTCGGAAAGCAATCTGGATCAGAACTGTTTGTCTCGCTGCAGCACAGAGATTTTCTCTGAAACCAGCTGGGAGCAGGTGGATAAGCAGGACACAGAGGTACAGGCTCGGCCCCTGCTCTGAGCAGCACCCATAAAACTGCTGGCGGCTCTTCTCCACCCCACCCCTGCCCCTCGACCCTGGCCAAGAAGTAACCTCATAGCACAGTTAGCCTTGAGCCTGGGGCATCACAGCTCCGGAGAGCCCCCATCAAGCCTAGAATTCCTGAGCCAGAGACACTCAGCAAGCTGGCCCTCTCTCCTCATTGCCTCTATGAACTGGAGCCCTACCAGCTCGCATCGCGACCCAGGGTGCTGCTGCCTGCTACTTTATCACAGGGGAGTTTAGAGTCCCCTCTGAGGAACTGATTTGGATGCCTTTCTTGTATTGCTGACATCAGACCTGCTGGGTTGGTGCCACTGGAGCCAGTGTGGTCCTTGTGACTGTTGCTGTCCTCCGTGTGGCTCTGCTGGCTCCAGCTGGGTAGCCTGTCTCCTCTCACTAACCTGGCCCCATCTGTTTTACAGATGACCCGTTGGCTTCCTGACCACCTGGCCGCCCACTGCTATGCGTGCGACAGTGCCTTCTGGCTCGCCAGCAGGAAGCACCACTGCAGGTGCCCTTGGGGGGTATGGTGGTGTGGGCCAGGGATGTGGAGGGTGTGGGCCAGGATGGAGAAAGGCCAGGTGCCTGGCTGGCAGTACTGGGTCTGAGGCAGACGCTGAGCTTGACAGAACCACCTGCTTGTCTTCTGTCCCTCGGAAACTGATGTTTGCAGAACAGCATTGGGCATCTCTGTTCTGGTTCCGAGTGATTGTTGCTACATTTTAAATGTGCAAGCAATAGACGTTTTGTCTTTTTGGCCTCCTGAATTGGTAGAGCAACACCCATCACCCAAATTACCATTTCTTATTCCCAGAATAAAATTTCTTCCCATTCAGCATGGCTGCTGTGAGCAAAATTGGTTTTCCTACAGTGGGCAGGGAACTTCATTTTCCCACTCCTTACTGTGATCCCTGAACTCAAACTTGTTTTCCCTTATGCCAGTGGTGAGCAGATATAGCTGGGGGGTGTCAGGGACAGCTGAGGAGACAGTCTTCAGTTCTAAGACTCTCCACCTTCTTTCCCCCTACTAGTTTGGGGTAGAGAGAGTTACTGGAGGTGCTTTGTCCCAGTTGGTGGGTGATTGGCAGATGTTCGGTGTTCGCAGGATAGGAAATTTCGCTGAATCGTATGATAGTTCACCCATATGAGTGAACCTGGATTGAAAATGTCCCTCTTTCTCCAGTAATGTTGCTTCTAGGATCATATATCTCCCTACCCTGCACCCCAGCCCAAATGTCTTTGATCAGCTTCTCTGAGCTCTTTCTCCCCTCCTTGCAGGGACATTGACCGTGTTGATCAAACGTGGTGAGCATTTGCAACAACCTGTCTGTGATGTCTGCATATCTCCAATAACTTCTTCAAACTAACGCTGTCCTTTCTCCCCCTCTCTCTGCACTCATTGGAATGAAAGCCTGGGACTGGAGAGCACAGGCAGGCAGGTGGGCTTAGAGGGACATCAGAGCAGCTGATGGGGGAGCCCTGGAGGACTGAAGCAGGCTGCAGTCCCTTACTCCCCTTCTGACCACAGACAGGTCAGCTGAGCCATCCTTGCTTTATGACAAGAAGGGTGCCTCAGCAGGGGCTGGTCTCGTAGTGTAGCGGAGCCGTTTGGCTCTCAGAGCCGTCATTTTGGTTCAGTCGTTCAGGGAGCCGCCAGGATGACGCTAATGACTTCCTGAATCGAACAGCACCACT